AAATGTGCATTTGCAGGAGGGTGAATTTTGAGAGAAAGGCATTCCAGAAAAAAGAAACTCCAAACGGCCTGTGAAAAGGCATAGTGAAAAGGAAACCTGAGACCAAAGCTGAGGTTTTCTTTCCTACGTTTATTTCAAAGCCCTTCACTATCTGTATAGAGAGAGGCAGTCTTTAAAAACAAACTACTAGACTCTTAACGACCATGAAATTTACATATATGTGAATGCTAATGGTTACTTCCCCATGTTTTGGGGTGTTGAGAATTTACTGTAAACAACTGTATCCATTTTATGGAAGTCCCTATCTTCTAATAGAAGCCATTTTGTGATGATTCGATAGTTTCTAATCAATTTCAAAGAGAATGCAGGTCGTGGCACCAAATGAAGGTCTTCTATAACAAATCCTTATTTTAATGAGGCCTAGTTTGCTTTAGGGTTCACTGAGAGTATAGGACCAGAATAAAAGGGGCATAAAAACTACGTTAAGAAAATCATTAGATACTAGCACCTTGTATTTTGAAGGCCTCAACATTTACTGTGAACAGTTCATACAGGTTTACATAACGTCACTCCAATTAGCATGCACTTAAAAATCATCCAAGATTAGCTTAAAAATCTCCTATTTGAACCAGATAATGCAAAAATCATTTTAAAAAGAAAACGTCCTCGTATAACGAGCTTATCCTTAAAAGGAGACAGAAATGTAACATCAGGCTACGGCATCAAAGTTTGCGAGCAGCGGCACTGAAAACTTTCCCGTGGCGATCTTAACTGGAGGTCACGTCACATTTCACCAGCGAGGACATTTTCCCGTGCACGTCGAGGAGGAAGGCGGACACCACTCGGGGGCCGGGACACCCTCCCGTTTGGGGTCGGAAGCTGCAGCCCCGACGGCGCCAAGTTTGCGCCCGCTGCCCCCCGCGCCCCGGCCTCTCCGCAGCCGGGAGGCCACGGCTCGGCCCCCGGCTCTCCGGCTGCCTGTTAACATCCGCAGGGAAAAGGCTGAGCGGCGCCACGTCGCGCAAACACGGGAGGGAGGGAGCCGCGTCTGCGAGGTCCCCACACGGGTCAGCAGGGAGCGAAGGGCTCGGGGCTCCCTCCCTCCCTCGTCCCCAGGGGGCGGGGAGAGGGGCGCGCGGGGGAGGGGGAGGGGCGCGCGCTCGGAGCCTCCCCCCCCCGCCCAACGCCCCCGCCCCAGGGTCTGGACTCGCGCGGGGGCTGGTGGGGGCAAGGACGCCTCGACCTAGGGTGACGCCAGGCATCTCCCGGGCGACGGCTCCGCAACAAGATGGCGGACGATAAAGAAAGGGAAGGCCCAGGTAAGAGCCGCCCGCCGCGACCCCGGCCCGCACTGGGAC